CCCCACCACCACCACCACCACCACCACCACCACCACCACCACCACCACCACCACCACCACCACCACCACCACCACCACCACCACCACCACCACCACCACCACCACCACCACCACCACCACCACCACCACCACCACCACCACCACCACCACCACCACCACCACCACCACCACCACCACCACCACCACCACCACCACCACCACCACCACCACCACCACCACCACCACCACCACCACCACCACCACCACCACCACCACCACCACCACCACCACCACCACCACCACCACCACCACCACCACCACCACCACCACCACCACCACCACCACCACCACCACCACCACCACCACCACCACCACCACCACCACCACCACCACCACCACCACCACCACCACCACCACCACCACCACCACCACCACCACCACCACCACCACCACCACCACCACCACCACCACCACCACCACCACCACCACCACCACCACCACCACCACCACCACCACCACCACCACCACCACCACCACCACCACCACCACCACCACCACCACCACCACCATCACCACCACCATCACCACCATCATCACCACCACCATCACCACCCCCCTACCCCTTAGTGTAAATATATTTTCTTTTCTTGTTTCTTTAATCATTTTTCTTTCATTCTCATTAACGACACTATTACTAGACACTATTATTGGCAAATGTTATTTAGAATTCTAGATTGCCTATAATGAATAAAAAAGATAAAATGATGCTCTAATATGTGCAAACGCACGAATCGCACGTCACAAGGATATGAGATGTCCATGAGAGTCTTTATAATAATGTATTGCTAATAATTAAGTTCGTTTGAGGCAATTAATGGGAGTATGGTTATTGCGTAAAGGGCAGCTAAAGCTGGTAGGGGGCGACGAGGTTGCCAACGAGGTAGGTGAGCCGAGTGCAAAAACCTTATGGAGCCTTATGGGTGGAAAAGGCTCTCACGTATGAGTGAGTCGGAGGAAATAAGCGGGAGCGCAAGCCCGCAGCGAATAATTTGAAGTTCAGTCCCCCTACCGCGACTCCGGCTCCGTCCTCCGGCATAGATTTTTCGAAGCTCCACCTCTCCTCGGGTCGCGCATGTGCCCGCAAGAGCGAAGAAGGTATACGTGCAACACGGCAAGACACTCCAGTAGCAGCGCGTCACTCCGGCGAGTGGGACTGCGCTCCTCCGCTCGGGCTTCCATCCCAGCCTCGATCTTCTCGATCTTCTCGATCTGCCCGGCTACGCGACAGACAGTTCGATTGCGCCAAGTGTTCTCCGTTTCTGTTGGTTGCCAGGGGCGGGAGCTCCGACTGGACCGCCGATAATAGAGGGGCTTTGGCTGCACGTACGCGCCAAGGATCTTGGAGCCGCCCAGGCTGCTTCTGGACATGAGCGGCGAATGATGCCTCGTGCGCGCGACCGGAGACTCGGCCTTTTTACATAATTAATTGTATTCGAGAGCCGCATACACGCGTTAAACATCCGGCTCGGTAGGTTTCTGGGGGTGGGTGGGCGGGCGGGGGGTGGTGGGCGGGGATGGGGCGGGTGTCGAGGAGTTGAAATTTCAGTTGGCGAAAATAGTTGAGACCGATTGATTGCGAATGAGTGGCAGCAGGTAGCGAGTGCTCGATGTTTGCAAGAGGGTAAGCTACACGGCTTTAACCAATCAATATTAGCCGACTTTTACTTTTGAATGATTGGCAGATTCTTAGTTTGCTGGAATAGCGAGAGGGCGAACGAGTGATAATTGTGACGATTGTGTGCGTGTGCGTGTGCGTGTGCGCGTGCGTTTGCGCGCGCGTTTGCGCGCGCGTGCGCTCGCTTACGTGTGTGAGTAAGTGGGTGTGTGCGATCGAGCGTGTGCGCGTGTAATTTTTTTTTATCTATACTCATTCTCTTACTACTTGAGAATAACTTGCATTTTTAAGCCTTTGACGATGAATGCATTTATTAAGCGTGTAATATGACTTTCCACCTCAAAATACGAATATAGCACGCGAATAATATTTAATTATGTTTAATCATCGTTTATAATTTATCTCACATAATGGAGAAATTTGTCTATTGCAAAATATTTTTGCTCTTCAATGAATACCTTCTCGTTTCAAGTTACACCACGCACATCATATAATAAAAAGTTAATTTCCATTTAATACAAATGTTCAAGAAACTTTTTTAAATTAATCATACGTTTTGCCTATTTGTCTCCACTACCTGCCATTAAACAATGAATATTTATCCAAAATTCGGGAACACGTGTCATTATAATTTACATATAAAAATGCAATGAACAATGTCACTAAAATGACATGGAAATCAATACTTTCCAATTTTCAGTCCAATCTGACGATTATGCGGCTTTAATATTGTGAAATAATATACGAACGTATCGGTACTTTGAAACTATGCAACAACTTTATATGCAATTATCACTTGTATAATAATAAAAATTTTGAATACATTAATTACCAAGAATTTTCAAATGAATTTTAATGAATAACGCGTGTGCATTAAATGCGTGCGTGCGTGAGTGCCCGTGGATGTAAATGTTATATTCCTATAAAAATTGTCTTGAGATATTCGTCGTATTTTGTTATCTATAGTAGGCATTTTATATACGTAACCTCGTAGACCGACAACTGCTTGATAAGTAGAAGTAAAGAATCACTCCCATTGCCAATAAAACTTTATTCGCTATACTTCGCTTCCTTTCCATTCAAAAGATCAGTCTCGAAATCTTGCCACAGAAATATCCGCGCTAGTGTCTGGAATGCAAACACTCATACTTTCATACGACGTCCGGAACTATCAACTACATTTTTCGAAAGTGCCCGATTGTGCGTGTCTCATACGAAAGACAGATCAGATATTCGTTCAAGGTCGAGGACAGAGAACTCTTTCCTTTATAAATATATGTTGCAACAGGTCGCAAGCGCTATTAAACCGTGGAGTCCGGTTTTGTTATTATTTTCCATCTCTGTCGTAGCATACGGTATATCGTATATTCCTGTTATACGCTTTTTGGATTTTTTTATATTCCAGCATCTGTGGATTTGAAAGAAACGTTGTAGCTTAGAGGTAAAAAGGAAAAACATGTGTAATTTAAGCCACGTGCCATGTATTAATTGCCTTACTTGACCGAGAGAGTAATTTGTTAATTTAACGATATATTAAGAAATGCTGAATAGCGAAAATTTTTCGACTTTCGATAAGAGCTTAAAATATTTAATTAAAAGATTTTATCAATTGAAGAATGAAATAATTTAATTGTTAATGTAAAATCGATATATTGATAATACGTTCGTTAACGGCTTTATTGAAGGTGATGTAGAATGTTGACGAAATTACTGAAATAATATCAAATCATTGAAATATTAAGATAATATATTGTCATTACTAATTGTGTGAAAAACCTTTGATGTACATTCAAATATCGCGCACCTTATGATAAAAAGCCATTTTATAATATCTCTATCTTATAGCGGATGCATTCCTTTCACGTTACCTCTTCTTCCTAAAGTTTTCATTACGATAAGAACTATTCATTATGCTTAATCAATGGCTTATTACATATTTTATTTTATTTTTCTATGATCGATTTATTATGCATATTGAATGCTTATTTCTAAAAAACTATTTCCAATTGTCATGCAGCAAAAATATTCATGGTTATTGCTATGAGGCTGAAATATAAAAATTTAATCGTGTAATAATATTAAAAATGCAAGCTCTATACGTATAATAGCGAATGAGACATTAACAAAATTATTTTGTTTTATTAGTGCAAATACTTGAAGTAAAAAAGTGTAGTTATTGAAGTTGTGATTGAATGTCAGAGACCAGTAATAACTAATCCTAAACTGCCAATGACTATTACTACTCATTAGAAATTTATTAATTTTTCTCGGTCACTTGCTATTTAACAAATACATTATTTGACAAATATTCTAATTTACATACATTTATATTCATGGAAGCTAGTTATTAAATTTTCTTTTTCTAAATTTCTTAAAAACCGCGAGATATTAATTCTTTATTTCTGTATACAAAATTAACATATCAGTCATCTGCAATAAAGTGTTTATAATGCTGACTTTACATAAATAATACGTTGTAATAATATACTAAATAGACAAAATAAATAATACAGTGTGTGCGTGTGCGTGTGCGTGTGCGTGCGCGTGCGCGTGTGCGTGCGTGCGTGCGTGTACGCAAGTCAATATGTATAAATGAACAAATATTTATGGTAATAGTTAGCAAGCTCGATAACTATTAAATCATTAATGTTATACATGAAAAGCAAGCGAATGATCTATAAATAAAAGTGAAATCAAAATTTAATAATACAGATCTGGGTATGGAAATATAGAATAATTCACTTTTTATAAGTTCAATACGAAATATTCGGTGGAATATCTTGAAGTTAATAATTAATCGCGAATGGTTAATTTCATAGCCATTTTTTTTCTCTCTCAATTGCAGCAATCAAATAAATTCACCTTTTAACGGAGTTTTAAAGAAGTCTACGGTAGTATTTAAAAAATTTATTTCAGTATTTTATTTCAACGAAATAATAATAATAATAACAACAACAACAACAACAACAATAATAATAATAATAATAATAATAATAATAATAATAATAATAATAATAATGATAATCATAATGATAATAGTGATAATAATGATAATGATAATAGTGATAATAATAATAATAATGATAATAATAATATGTACATAACGCGTACAATCAATGACCTAATTAATAACATTTATATAAATATTTGAGCAAAATTTTATTAAAAATTTTAATATATTACGTAAATCATAGCCTATTCGAGAATAGTACGAAAAGTTAAAGAGAAAAAAATTTTAAAGCCAAATTTTTATAATACTCGTATTTAAAACAGTTAAATATTAAAAATAGAACTCAGCCAATTCAAAAATCATCATCGACGTTAAAAGATATCTTGTATAATAAAGAGGAAGCCGAGCTGAAGAAGATGAACGGAATCACGCGAAATCCGGAGGCACTGGTCGATGAGACCAAAATGTCATCTCCGGAGACACAGACGAACTCGAAGAAGACCTATCCATGTCCTCTACGTAAGATATCTTGGGGCGAGAACGCGGTTGCCAGCATTGACGGTTCGGATATCGAAGTCCCGGGAACCCCGAGAACCCCCAGGACCTCTACCATGCCAGGTAGCTGAGAACCGACTCCATTTTTATCATTTTCAACTTTTATTAATTCAAACACTCGATCAAAGCCTTTTACTTGCACTTTTCATTATTCATATTATTCAGCAACAGGTGAAAATAGGCCATTTGATTGACAAACTCTGAAATTTTATCATTCCTTTTGCATATATTATGCCATTTGATTAATCTTCTATCAATTAATACGAATTTACCAATTGGAATTCTTATGATTATATTGGTGTTAGTTATTATGTAAATCGCTTTTTTGAAAGAATTAAAAGTAAGCTTACGTATAAAGATTATTTTGTAATAATAATACCATTTAATAATAATAATAATAATATATACTACTATAATACAATAAGCGTAATATTTACAACTATATTTTTTATATAAATATTAACAAACAATTCTTAAGACATAAGAGGATTATTATAGAATACTATGAATAACAACAATATTCAGTAAAATATAACATCTGATTTACATTGGATTTCTCTTAAAAGAATTGTATTATTAAATAAATCAAATTAATGTAACCTATCTATGTTTCCAAATAATTAATATTTCCGATGCGATTATGTAGTTACTTGAAATAACTTTCTTTGTTTTTTTTTTTTTTTTAATCACTAATATAATAATATCAAAATAAATATAATTTTAACCATTAAGGTGTCAGTTTGTTTATATATATTGCGGATGACGTTATAAAATTGAAGGAAATAATTACTTTTAAATTATGTTACGATATAAAGATACGATATACAGATTCAATAATTACAATTGATAATAAAAAAAAATTCTTTCATTTTTATTCAAAGCAATTATTTTAATTGCTATACAGGTATTAAACCATTAGAAATAATACTTCTAATTGTTGCAAGTATTGAAACTATGGAATTTACATTATTATATATTATTTATACATAATTTATTCTATTCATAAATATTTTAATGTAAAACTTGTACAAAAAAGCCTAAAGTATCATTTGGCTTATTTAAGTTATAAAACTCTACAATACTTTGTATTTTATTTATAGTAAAGTATTACTTTATTATAAACTTTAAAATGGATAATATATAAAAATGAATTTTATAATTAATTAAAATTCAATTGTTTATCGTAGTTTCAACAAAATTTACCATGAACAAAATTTTAAAAAAAAAAATCAAATTAATTTATAATTTTTATGATTCGATAAACTTTAAAATACATGTTTTGACATAGATTTACCGTATGTTATAAGGAGCAATAGAAAAAATTTTTTTTTTACTACTTGAATTTATATTATTGCTGTATATTAAAATAAGCTAGCCTATTGAAGAAAGCCTATTTATTATTGCCATTACAATTTTTTTTTTTTACAATATTTAATATTGTATTTTAGGCCTTAGTTATCAATTCGTAGGAATTAAAATTTGCAGTTGTTCATCGGCATAATTATATGCATACGATTACAGAAAATATAAAACAATGCAAACAAAAGTCAATTGTTGTAATTGAATAATCGGCGCCCATAATATTGTTTAAATAAAACTTAATTCAAAATAAATTCGTAAGTTTTGAAAATAGAAAAAAAAAATAATAAAACAACTACCAATGTTTCTGGTATATACATGTTATACATGCATTCCCGTATAGTATAATCGTCTGAAATTACGCTTGAAAACATTGAAACAGCGAGCATAAACAACATAGAGCTGTTAAAAACGATGTAGATTCTTATTTATCAGACAAATGAAGAAGAAGAAAATGTGATATATAATTAATATAAACATGCTTAAATTTATTTAAATTTATGAGTTCGTTGTAGTAATTTTTTTTTTTTTTTTTTTTTTTTTTTTTTTTTTTGAAACTTAATTATTACTTTATCTAGTTAATGCATTATAAATGAAAGTATGATGAATGAAATAACGAATGTTAAATGTCTATTTAACACGTTTTCGCATCTATTCTATTGGTAATAAGTGCATCTCTTTTTTATGTAAAATTTATATACCATTTCATACAAAATAAAATCAATTATTGCAAGTTTCTTCCAGTTAATTACTAAGCAAAAGCACTTATAAGCGGCAAAAATTGTACCATTGATATAACAACTTTCTTTGTATAATATTAAAAATCTTTTTATTTAAATTTATTATTAAAATTCTATGGAGATAATGAAAAAATTTAATTACTATTAAATTTAAATTAATAGTATTAATTAGTATTAATAGTATTAATTAATAATATTAACTATTAAATTACTATTAAACTATTTAAATACTATTTTTATATTAATACAATAGAATAAAAATTTCATAGTGATATTGAATGTCCAAATTATTTTATATATTAATTTTAAATAGACAATAATATTATTCTTTTTTTTCAGTAGTAAATGTATTAAACGTTATTACTAAAATGAACTAATTTTATTTCTTTTAATGTCTGCAAATAATTGTGTTATATTATTAATGAACTGGATAATTAATAGTATACTTATACAGTCGAATGTTATATGAAAATTATGAAATTTTATATTTACAGAACGAGTAATGCAATAAGTACTTCTTAAGTAAATTCTTAAGTATATTAATGACAAAATTTAAACACTTTACACAATTGCATCTCAACATACGTACCAAATACATATATATATATATATATATATATATATATATGTTTTTCGACGTAAACATTAGAAGAAAGTTGCATTAATCAATATATACTTCATTGAATTATTATATTCTGTTATCAAGAATAATGCATACATTTTTTTATCATTATTACAATGAGTTGACAGAAACGATAATTATTATGACAAATAACATTTAAATTACCAAGTAACCAATACGAGTTGACGAGACATTCATAAAACAGAACATAACATACTCAATTCGTATAGTTGATCGTTATAAAATAAACAGAAAATTTTTTGAAAGTTTATTAATTTTTCATTCTTATGGGCACTTATTGTTATAAAAATATATGAATATACAATACAAATTTAATACTTATTTTATATGATTATAAAATGTAATTTCATCTACTATTATTAGCTATTTATAAGGATAATCAGTTTCGTTATGAAAAATAATAAATCGTGAAAAAATTTATAGAAAAAAAAATCTACAAATTAGTAAGCAAACACAATAAATGTCTAATATATTGAATTGAAAATTTACAACTATATTCTCTAATTACATTGGTATTTCTTATTTAATTGTAATAACAATAACAATAACATCACAGATCACCAGATAAAATAAAAATATATTCTGTATTATCGTAATTTTTAATACATTTGCCACTCTATAAAGACAAAAGATCTTTTGCAATTAAGTTACATATTGTTAAGTAATTTTATAACATCCTGCATCTCTATATAATCGTTTAAATAAATATATTACCAAAATCGCCGATAAATTATCACTATTATGAGACATTGAAATCAAAGGTTCGTACCTTATTGCAATGCAGCTTGTATAATCAAGTATTCTCGTCGATATTGACGAGACGATAAAGAACAATAATAACGCGAGAAAAACCGTTAGGGCTTTATCGCTAAATATATCGGAAGCTTGAGTTTGAGTTAGTGATGATATCTTACATGTAAGTGTGCGAGGAAACTTCATTGTTTACATAATATTGCAATGCCGAAGTTAATTATTCGCTCACACATGTGACGCAGGCCACGAGAAGTGCACATTCCATCACGATATGGAGTTGGACCATAGGCCATCTACACGAGAGGCTCTACTCCCACAGATGTCACACAGTTACAAGCTCCTGCTGCAAGCCCTTGGCGAAAATACAGAAAGACAAGGTCTGCTAAAGACGCCCGAGAGGGCCGCCAAAGCCATGCTTTTCTTTACCAAAGGCTACGACCAGAGTCTTGAAGGTCAGAACTTTTATATTATTTTACACATGCGAAAAGTAATTTTCCTTTTCATTGACGATGTGCTGCGATGATTATTTAAATATTCCCGTTAAATTCTTAAGCGCACGGGGCTTAACTATCAATTTCATTTCTATAGCGAATTCATATAATATAGTATTTCACAAATTTATTACTAGCATATAAACATAGATTTTGTACAAAATCTCATTGCTACTTCTCATTTTTATTTAGCATATCTCTAATTCTCGAATGCTAATATTCTGCTTTTGTTATGAAGTAGCTTATTCGAACGAATTTACGAAATGTATTTTAGAATTATATATTTAATTAATTCTATAGAAAAAATTAATTCTATATTTTATATAGAATTATATATAAATATCCTTATATTTATAGTTTAAAATATTGATTGCATAATTTTTAAATGTTATACGTTACGTGTAAAGAAGTATAAAGAAAATATCTTTAAAACTCGCAAAATAACACTCGTTATATATTTTTTATCGTCGTAAGATTTTATTTTTATTTATTATCATTATTATTCTAATACTCGATATATCGATTCATTGGAAGAATAATATACTCTACATTACGATTTACAATTCACACATCAATAATAATAATAAATAAATGTTTACTAATACATCTAAATGCCTAATAGATTTAAATTACGTGTGCAAGGCTTACAGTTTCGAGAGTCATATTTCAATTACTGTTGACCATTTTTTATAAAGTTGAAAAATTCGTTTAAATTTAAGCTATGTTCTATCGCACTCCTGAAAGCATATTTTACTAATCTTACGAGGGTTGAAAGTTATTTTCACGTCTCTTTGCACTTCTTAAATATTCGATCCGTTATGAATGCTAATGAGATTCTCAAGTTAATTTATCTGTTCTTTAAGCTTTCTAGTGCGTATCAGTTAGAGAAAAATGTACGTTATTCTCGGTTATACAAGAGAACTTTTTTTCTCAAAGTTATATAAATCTGTATTTCGAGATTTCAAAACATCATATTTCAAATAATGACAGTCATGTTTCAAAGTGACAGTATGAAAGTTGAAACAAAAAAAAAAAAAAAAAAAAAAAAAAAAAAAAAAAAAAAAAAAAAAGAATAAACATAAGAAATATAAGATTTTTTTTTTATTCAATCATTAAAATATTATTGAAAATATTATCATAACACCATTAATAAATGTAATCATATTTTTGTCTAAATTATCGACACATTTCTATATTTTATGTGATAAATAAACTTTTAAAAATAATTCAATTTCATGCCAAACGATATTATAAATTATATTTAATTTTTTTAAACGAGAATAACAATTATCGAGTGTAATATTAATTAAGTAAAAATAAAACTGAATAACAATATCTTGTATATAAACTGTAATTGTTTGTACTTTGTCGTAATTAAATGGCAAGGCTAAATTTGTTATTAATTTTTATAAACGCTTAATGTCGATAACTTTATTCGTGTTAGAAATGAAAAAAAAAAAATGGTAAATTAAATAAATTCAAATATATGTATATATTCAAATTTAAATTATTATAATTTATTAGTATATTATACTCAATGTGATTTATTGTAAAATGCTTTTAAAGATTTTTATTTTTATAAATTTAACATCTCTCAAAGATATTATTCGAGAGTGAATAAAAACTAAAGCCTTATAAACTTTATCGTCAACATTAGTAAAATTAAATTCTTATCACACTTATTTATGAAAAATATTTTATAACTAACTCTATGTGGATTGATTCGTAGACAATAAAAAAATCATAATAAAAGACGTTGTAGGTGTATGTATTTAAATAAAATACTTAAATTTATTGAAGCGAATGTAATAAATTTCTTACTTTTGAGACTTATAGTATGAATATTTAATCGATCGTGTGATTTATTTTTAATGGGCTATTCTTTTTATGTAATCCGAGAGTATTTGAATTGCAATATAAACCTTAAAAGCAAAGTACGGAAGAAGAAAAAAAACATAATGTAAATCGTTATTGTTACTCTCATTTATATAACGTTATTATCCGTTAAATCCCTCCTCCACACGTACATTTTCGTCATATGTTACCACTAGTACTTCAGGAGTATTACAATTTAACGTTCTACGCATAGTCCTACAATTTCATTGAATTTATTTTATTCTCTCCAACTTCAAGAGTATCGCCAATGAATAATAATATCATTAGCTCACCAGGCTCTTTCGTACTCAAGCATCTTTGTGAAGAAATACCATACATCAGTGTATACATACATTATACGAATGCATCATTTCAACGAAAATCCATTATTATTTATTACAAGTTTCTCATTCACGTCTCTAAGGACATTAATAAAAAGAATCTCTTTTGATTATAAATTTATTATTACTTAAATATTGACTATTCGTTTTAAGCTTATAAATGTATTATTTTGCAAATTTTTATATCATCGGTCGTGCTATTATTGTTATCACTATCAAAACCTACTTTTCAGCGTTATTAAAAAAAAAAAAAAAAAAAAATCTATATATATATATATATATATATATATATATGTATGTATATACAAATATTTCTCGTACTATTATAAAATTTGCAACAGTACAACAGCATCCTGTTTATTTTGACAATTAGCCTTTTAACAGCAAAGTGTTTTGTGTTTTTATAATTTTTATACAACAAACTCCTTCAAAATTTAACATTGTAATAAACATAAATCATTCGCGTGAAATATCGAAGCATATTCTTTAACAATTTATCAGTAGTAATAAGACGTATAATAATATAAAACATAATTGTAAGAGCTTTCAGATTAATCATTGAAGGAGCACATAATTGCCCTTTTGACAAATCCATCATTTGCCTCTCTCATTGATCTTACATTATATTACTCCTATAAAATAGGATCTTCGTAAACATTGTATTATCATATATATATATATATATATATATATATATATATATATATATATTTGTCGTATTTTCAATGACGCCACGACTGAGACAGGGACATATATATATATATATATATATATATATATTCGTCGTATTTTCAATGACGACACGACTGAGACAGGGACGCGGACGAGGACGAGAACGACGACATCCCCCGGTTGTCATAAAAGCCTGTGCACGGGAGCAGCCAAAGGCTCGGTAATTGCAAAGATACCTCTTGTTCGGGTTGTCCTGGCAACGCTCGGCTATGTCCTGGAACATACGCTCACAAGCGACTAAGTAGGTCAATATCGGGCAAATCACGAGGGCAGCACCGAATCGCTACCGAGCCTCCCCCCCCCCCCCCCC